AATACTGGCCTCGAGATCACTAATCATCTGTTCTACTTCATTAGCTTTCATTTGTTGATTGTCTTCAGCATAATCCTCAAGTTCTGTGGTTCATTACGAGAGGTTCTAATCGTTAACCCAACATATCTGCCTAATTCAGCTGTGAAACATGTAAACAGTCAGTTCTAGATACTTTCTAGAATGGAACTTACCATGTGACTTGGGATCATGCAAGTCAGCAAAGAATAATTTTTTATGGATTGAGGGGCACCCCTCAGGATTTTGGGTATTCAGGATTTCATTTTTAAAAAGTTTAATTTTCTAGTCTTCTACGTAAACTGATTCACTATTCTGAGTCTGCAGGCGGCCTGAAACAGCCGAGGTGTAAACTGCACTATTCATCTCACTGAAGTTCTTTGTGAAGCCTCCAGATTACTCGATCAAGTCAAATCAGTGACAGTGCAGAGACAATTCCATGCCTCTCTCAGATCATGTAGGATGAAGGAAGGAGACACACTGCAAATGAGTCTGGAAGGCTAGAAGAGGAAGCTTACCCTCTGGGGGTAAATACCAAATTACTTTTCCTTTTCCCTGGGATTAGCTTGCCCCCCACTGAAGGAGCCCTCCTGTTTTCCCATAACAGCACTCTACTCAGCTTCTAAATCCCACCTGTAAGCCCTCAGCCGAAGCCGACACCCACAAATAACCAACCTGGCCTTTGGACAGGGCTAGATGAGATGCTGTCTGCGCTTGCCATTGACATTACTTCAGAACTAGATGCCCTACCTAAGACAGACATGATCACCCTGCTCTAAAATATTCCCCACCCTTGTCAGGTGGGGGAAACGAGATCAAACCAGGCAACAAAAACCTGGTCTGTACATACACAAAACTGGCTACAGAGCAAAAAGACCAGCCACTAATCACGATTATGAAAACAGATATTTTCAACTGTCTTTTGAAAAAGTAAGTTAAGGGTTTCAATCATTACATAAAAGTTCTTATGAAATGTACTGCAGGATCCTGTTAATCATGTGACAGTTACCCGAGTATTCAAGAACACTCAGCACCTTACTCTGCACGTTCACTTGAGACCAATTTCTGTTTTTACCTCTACAATAGCAAGCTAGACAAGACGCCACAGATCTTTGAGTGATGGAAGTCTGCGGATTCTGAGTCCTTGCATATTTCCAGCACTGTAGAACTAGTACTGATCACTAGGTGTTTGATTTCCCACATAACACTGAAGCATTCTACATTGGCGTATCTACTGCAGAAGAGTTACCTGTGCAATTGCCCATTTTACCATTGGGCCACACGCTAAGGATGCTCGGTTTACGATTTCGTAATTGTAACTTGGATTTGACATGTAATTCTTCTTCATCTTTTCCCGGATGGAATCACTGCAAAAGAAGAGTTATGTTTCACACAGCATGTACGCAAGTATTGAAACTGTCAGCGCAGAATTACTGAGAGGAAGTTGCCCCTTTACTACAGCAGATAAACTAAAACCAATACCGTAGATCTTCAGTATTAAAGTTGACAATGAAAAGCTGCTGATTAAATTATCTTTTTCCAGTCATTTGTCTCCTCACCAAACAAGAGAGAGATTGATTCTAAAACCAGTTTTACTGCAGCAGGAGGGCTGGCCACTGCTCTTACTTCAACAAGATGCTGCTTCCTTATACAGCTCACAGCTATTAAGAGAACGAAAAGTATTCAGCATGCAACAATCAAGGATTTAAGGCTACTGCTGGGAAATAAAGAAAGAAATTTAAGTTCAATTACTGGGAATAGTCTATATCCCAGTGCTCTGATGGCAGTATGTGCTACTCAGACTATACTTTAAAATTTATTTTAAGAGTAAAATTTAGCCGAGATGCATATCTGCTCCCTGATAGATCATCTTCATGAATATATGACAGAGTTTGATATTTTGTTCACCGCATAAAATATGGAGATTCTGCATATGCATATGAGATTAATTCTGCTTTTTGTGAGGTAGAAAACAAGCCCTAACATCACCAATTGTGACTACTAGTAAGATTTCTATTGTGAAAATCTTGTGAACAATTTCTTTCTATTCCCAGCAGTACCTCAGTACCTGCAGTTATTCACCTGATCTCCTCAGCAGAAAAGTTTACAATAGTTGGAATGAAGTTTTCCCTCATAATGATGGAACGTATCTGTTTCCAGTCAGTTGTACTTTCACCCAATAGTAGACAGATGGATTCTAGGGCTAGCTTCACTGCTGCAGGTGGGTTGGCCATAGAACGGACCTCTACCAGATGCTGCTTCTTTATTGATTTTACAGCTAATCACAGTGGTCAAGCCGGATCGATCAGGAGAAAGGAAGAGTATTGACAGGGGAGAAAAAGGAAGAGAAGACAGCAAAATAGTAAGACAGGAATTAGCAAATATTCATTGAGATTGTTGAGAGATTAAGCTTCAGGTCATATCTAAAATGAATTAAACCTGTCTTGTAAAAACCAAATGCTTTCCACATTTTGAAAACTCTCCACCAGTATTCTCACTTGTGTGAGAGCAAGCTGAACTATCAGAAGCCTCCAAGCACTACTACAAGAGCAAGAGTTTGCACCTGGCAGCTATACTGAGTTCACAAGGTAAGGAGCCTAAAAACAAGGCTATGCCTCTACAGTGAGTGACTGTATACCTAATCAAATAGTGAATTAGAAGTCCTTCCTCCTCTTACACAACCCACTGATAAGCCATTGTAACTAACTCTTGAGTAAATAAGTTGTAGGTAGTATTTCCATTCACGATACTTCCCAGTGTTTGTTGACTTACTCCTGTTTCAGGAGTTCCTATTCTAATGTGGCCTGGTATACTGAAAGATACTAAGTAAATCTAGCAAAGCTTGACAAAAACAGTGAACCATTAAGACACTTTATTGCTCAAAAGTTTAATAAAAATACAGCTTAGAATGCAAGTCTACAGTAGCAATAATAGGACGTTTGGAAGCTCAGTAGTGCTAGTGAACCATTTTATTTCTACTGCTTCCACACTAAAGATTAAGATACTGCTGATAAAGGGGAAGGACCCAAAGTTCACTGAAGCAAATGGAAGCACGCCCACTGACTTCAAGAGCCTTTGGATCAGCCCCAACCCCTAAAGGCAGGCATGCTGTAGTTATTTGTCAGTGCTGACTTACCATTCTGAGCTTCAATGACAGCAGGCTCGACTTTGTCTAGATCCTCCTTCACACTCATTTGCTTATCTGCAATTACTGCTTGCTGTTTGTGCAGCTGCTCCTGAATATCTTGGCTCATAACCTAAGAGAAAGATTGTGCAACCTGTAATATATTATTTCTAAATATACTGCACATGTACAAAAGGTAAAGAAAGCTTTGATTTCACCTTTTTCTTCTCAGCTTCTTGCTGATCCTTCACCATTTTTTTCAGCTTGTCATTAGCTGCAGCATTCTTTTTTTCCAACTCCTGGCTCTTTATTCTCAAGTCCCTACGCAGTTCTTCCACCTGTCATGAATTGTAAGATTAGAGTCTATACAGACTAAACTCAGTTTTAAAACGTTTTAATAGCTCTAATTTTATTTTAAAAAGCAAAGTTTAAAGGTATGTACCTGGTCAACAGTTTCCTTGATCTTTCGAAGACCAACATTCAAATGCATCTGCTGTTCCTCCAGCTCACTCCTTTTCTCATTGAACAAGTTAGCATAATGGTTGATGAAGTCCAAGTAGTGACGTGGTGTGATGGCCATAGTTCTGCCTCCCCGTTTTGCTAGACGAGCGTTAGCCTTTCCAAAGGAAAAGGATTTTGTCAAAAGTTTGTATATGTAAAAGATTAGGATTATAGAATATCTAGATTTTTTTTTAAACTCAAAACTGTCACAGGGCAATGTTGTTGTACTGAACTTGTGTCAGTCTACTAGAACACGGCATTAGAGATCCGAGTAGCACGGCAGAACACACCTGATGAAGGGTCTGATGAACAAATACACAGCTATTCACAATAGCTTCCCTATGTGATGGCGGTTGTGGTAACTTGTCATATACAACTGGCATATAGTCTGGCACAATGTAGTTTGGCTTCTCAAGATCCATTTTGCTTGTAAACTCTTTGCCAACTTGGTACAGTGCTTCAGTTGACCAGTCTCCAAACCAGTTCAAGACACACCTGTAGACAGGACAAGACAGACATTAAAGCCTCCAAAATTTCTTTTTTCAAGAGGGTATTAACAATATTCTTAATTAAAAAAGACAGACCTGAAGTTGTAGGTTAGTTCCCAAACAGAGTAAATAAGTTACCTGTTGAAGAGAGCTGGAGAAGTAGCTGCTCTGTCCTTCAGGCCCTCAGAAGATGGGTTCATGGTGAACACAACATGGAGATTGCGAATAACTTGACTGGTGAACCATTTGTACAATTCTTCATGGGAATCTAGCATTAAGCCTTCTTTCTGCGCTCCCTCTTTACATTGAGTCATAAGGGTGGCATATTCATCTCCTTCAAAGAGACCAGGAACCTAATCCAGGGAATAAGTATATTTTTCTTAAAGGCTTGATTTTTTCCCCTGCATAACTGCTACTTTATACACATTTACTCAAGTTACCTCTCCATTGGCCAGAAGAGTATTCATTCTCTCCAGGAATCCAGAATCCAGTACATTTGACTCATCCATTATAAATGCTATTTTCTCATTCTTGCAGCCAGAGCGTCTTAAGACCGTTCTCAGATCTTCATCAAAGTCTTCACCTGTGTATTTTCTATGAACCTATAAAGATTTAGCAATAGTTACTGATCTTTTTTAGCCCTTATCCTCGCTCACAATGACTTACGTTTATACATTTATCTTACCAAAGATAGAATATCTGTAAGACAACTGCAAGCTTTAACAGTCAGTTTTTTTGTTGAGTGATTGAACTAAACCAACCTTTATTTGGTAAACACTTAAACCATTCATCCAAGCCACAAATCGTGAGAGAGTAGTTTTCCCTGCTCCACTAACTCCAATGAGAAGCAAGTGACCCTGAGGCTGGCGGAAGATTCTGAAAGAGATTGGTACTTCAAGTAAATTTATTGCTTGATAAATTGTGACTTAGCCACCACATTTCCAAACCTCCTTTCCTTGCAAACTTAACCTGTATTTTTTTTTTTTTTTAGTACTGTGTCTGGTTCAGGGGCACACTGAAGCAACTATTGGAATATTTCTCAGTCTACTGCTACAACGCCCCCTTTACAGAATGCCTCTCCCAAGTAGAACACCAGAACAAACTGGTGCTCCATTCTGGACTAGTCTGAATACAGATTTGTTTTATAATTCAAACTAGACAAACCCAGGAGTTGGAAATTCAGCTTACCGGTCAATTCTTAGCACATGATCCAAAACTTCATTGAACAGCACTAGTGGCACATCAAGTTCTTCCTCATAAAACACTTTCAGCCTGGCTTTTACATAGTCTCTCAGCTCTTCCTGATCCACTGGGATATAATCCTAGAATAAGGAGGCCAATATGTAAGCAAGAGATCTAACCGTCTAGAATTTAAGATTAAGGGAGAGATTATCCAGCACAGAGGGGTCAGCAGGGTGAGAAAGGGGCTGGAGTGACAAATTCCCAACTCAAGAATTGAGGAGGATCGCCACAGGGACCCCCTCAGACTCTGATGTAGCATGTGCCACGGGCAGGGCATGTAATGTTACATGCCACGGCAGCAGTGCTGCCCA